TCTCTCCCCTTCTGTCTCCTCTCTCCCTCCTTCTCTCCTTCTCCTTCTCCTTCTCTCTCTCCCCCCTTCTCTCTCTCTCTCTCTCTCTCTCTGTGTGTGTGTATACCTGTGCTCCTTACCTGAAAATAGCTGGCAACCAGTTCTGCCTGTGTGTATATACTCCTAGAAGACTTTTTTTAAAAAAATATGAGCCTATTTTATATATTGGCTCATATAAACAGATAGGATCCATCAGTTTTATCAGTGGTTACAGGCACTGGTTATTGAACTTGAATTCTAATGTCCCTGCTCTTGAACTGGGGTTAGGAGTAATTTGTACCCCTAAACTGACACAGTGTGCTTGGTACAGCCATCTTCTCTATTCATGGCTGACACGGCCATCTCTGTCTTACCTGCCTTGGGTGGGGGTGGGGGTTAAGTTCATTCAGACTTTTGATTTGCCTGACGTAGGTAATGTTACCAAATGTCAGTTTAACGCTGAACATCATTCGCAGCCCATGTTAGTGTTTCTCCTTTAATTTCAGGAGTTTTGTGGCACAGACCTACCGATATGGCTAGTCACTACAGGAAGCAGGACCTGTTGCTTTGCCTTCTACCTTTTATGGGTTCTTTTTCTCTCTGAATTGTTTATCGTGTGTATTTTTTGTGTTTGATGAAACAGATTGTCAATGCGCCGTATGGTTGCCAGGAAACTGTTTTGCTTTTTTTTGGCCCTAATGGGGACAAGGGTGCTTTTGAAATTAATAGCCGGGACACACTAATGAAGCAGAATGCTCTTCCAATTTTAAACAGAATTTTGCCGTTCGGTTTAATGGGGCGTCAAACAACGCTGCGTGTTTTCCAGGAAACAAAAGGCAAAAAAATGGCATGTGAACTGTTTATTTTTCATTTTTCAAAAGAAGGGCAGAAAGAGCCCTGTTACACACAAACAATTACATTTGCATCAAACATCACATAATGTTTACAGAAAGACCATGGTGGGTTTTTTTAAACACCTGTGTTCCTCCCCCAGAAAACACAAGTTGGTGTGTAATGTTTAATAACCAAAATTCCATTTGAGTCCACAGAGCTGATAAATGCTGATAATTAGCTTCTGGTTTTAGGGTGGGATGGGGTAGAAAATAGAATAGGGATAGGAATGGAATGGAATGGAATGGAATATAGACAGGAGAGGAGAGGAGAGAATTCTTTATTGGCCAAGTGTGTTTGGACACACAAGGAATTTGTCTCCGGTGCATAAGCTCTCAGTGTACATACAAGCAACAAGTGATTAATCACAGCAATAATCATCATAAAAATACGTTCATCAGAAATCATCAGATACAACACTTAGTAATAGTCACAGGATACTAAATAAACAATCAACAAAAATAATACTAGGATACTGAATAAAACAATATAAATCGTAAGATACAAGCAACAAAGTGGCAGGCATAAGAAGGTAAGGAAACAGGTAATAGGAAAGATGAGAAGAGTAATTGTAGTACAGCCCTGCTAGGTAGTTAAACAGTATTGTTGGAATTAGTTGTTTAGCAGAGTGATGCCATTGTGGGGGGCGGGGGACGACGCCTTGTGTCTAGTTTTGGCGTTCAATGCCCTATAGCATCGCCTTGAGGGAAGAGGTTATCTCCAGGATGTATGGGGTCTGTAGATATTTCCACATCCCTCTTTTCTGGCTCGTGCCCATTATCCTAAGTCACAATGCAGCTCGTGGCTCTCAGCAGAGCAGGTTACATTCACTGTGGTTTGTAAACTGCACAGGTAATGCTTGACTTACAACCATTCATTTAATGATAGTTTGAAATTATGTCGGCCGGTCCTCAAAGCTACAACCGTTGCACCATCCCCAACGGTCACATGATGATTGCAATCGGGGCACCTGGCCATCAACTGGCATTTAGGATGCTTGCAGCGTCTTAAAGTCACATGCTCAGAATTTGCAATCTTCCCAGCCACTTTCGACCAACGAAAAGTCAGTTGGGGAAGCCGGATTGGTTTAATGGCATGAGCCATTAACAACTACTGATTTCACTTCGCAGCCGTGGTAAATACGGCTCTAAAATCGTGTATCTGGTCATGTGATGTCTCGTTTTATGATCGCGGGGACTTAACAGTGGAAAATTTCGGGCCCAGTGCTAGGCCAAGGACTGCCTGTGGCTTAGAAATCACGATGATTTGGTTTTAGTTTGAAGATTAAAGATAGCCAATTATAACTTATTCAGCAAACGATCCTTGAAGGCAACGCATGAAATTAGCTAAAAACTGATACGCTAAGCAAATAGATACAGTACTGTAAGTCCACTTAAGGTAGCCTCCCATTCCATCATTAATTTTTTTTCTTGCAATTACATTTCTTCCTCATTAAGCAAAACGCAGCCAGATCTTTCATGAATAAATTCATCCCCTTCCTCTTTTTGAAGACGGGCTCTGCCAGCTAATGTATTCGGGTTTTTTTCTTTTTTTTGAGCATAGGGGGATAGAAATTCCTGCCACGAGCCCTCTTAAAACTTTATCGCTGCTATTACCAGCAGCAGATAAGCAAAGCTAGACCTGAAGATTGTTCCTTGAAGGCTTCATTCTCTCCCACCCCACCCACCCCAAGCATACCTCGAGTCATTTCTTCATTTAAAATGGCTTTGTACAGTCCTAATATGAAGCTCATAGCGCAGGGCTTCTTAAATTAATTTCTGGATCAGTATAACAATCGTGAAATGGTAGCGTCAACCTACATTTGAATGAGAACTGAAATGTAAAATGATTGGCCTCGGTCTTCATCTCCTGGCCCAGGGTTTCCCACCAAGGCCATTTCCAGAATTCTGTTCTCATACAGATCCCTTGCCAACAATTAGAAGAACTGGCTCACTGTTCTGACCTAGGCTTCCGAAAATCACGAAGCAGACTCCTCGTTCTTGACAAAGCCCCTTTTATTTAGGCTAATGTGAATTCCTCTCATTCACATCCAACAAAGTCCTGGCAAACAGTCTTTCAAGAGTGATTTACAATCACAGACCTTTTATCAGGCTTGGAGAGTTGCCAGGACGATAGCATCCAAACGCCATGCTGGAGCAGAAAATACTTGGCCAGGAGTCAGGAACAGATCTCCACCCTAATGAATTGAACTAGTTGTCTCCTGCAAAACCCCACTCCCCTTTCACTCCTCTTTATTCCCTGTGGGAGGGGTCATTCACCGTCTACCTGTGCCTTTACTCCCGAATCGACTCTTGATCCTTAACTGTTCTCTTCTCCTGGCAGCTCTGTGCATGCGCGCATCAGGAACAGGCTCCAGCTGTTCTTCTGCCCCACTGATCTCCGATTCCAAAGGCAGCTGATAACTGTCCGACAGCCCTGGCCCCATCTCTGCCTCAGACACAGAGCCCTTGTCGGAGCCTTCCCCAGACTCAGGACTGACCCATGTTCCTCCCAACCCTCTTAACTGTCCAAATCTGCCACCAGCTCCGCTTGGCCTCTGGTGGGCCACAATGTTCACATTGCTGGAAATTAACTCCAAACTGCTCCATCCTTTTGTTCTAATGGATTGTACACCTTTGGGAGCTGAGGGGTAAGAGTTTAGCAACACCAAACTTTCCCAAACGAAGCCCAGTTTAAGATACTGCGCAGTCCCGATGTACATGGGGGGGAAGAGATTCAGGATAGCCACATCCTAGAAGAGGGGTGGGCAGTTAATTATGTCAAGGGGCCACATGAGAAACTGGGATTGTTTTGACAAGCCAAACGAGAGGGCTGTGAAGGTGCCAAGGGATGCACGCACATATATAAATTGAAACAGTCCTCACAGCTGCAGCCCATGAAGGGGATCAAGGCCCCTTCCTCCCCCATATACCACGCCATTCACGTTTCTCCCTTATCCGCTCCTCCCTGCATGCCCTAGGATGAAGATGGGATGGGCCCGGGTCTTCCTCTGAATGCCCACCCGGCCTGTGCCCTTCCCCAGTTTCCTCCACAACATCTGGAGCCACACTCCCACTCCCTGTTGGCTGTTCCTCCTCTCCCTCGGAGTCAGATTCTAACAGGGGCATGACACTGTGGTCACCGTTAGGAAAAAGGTCCTTTTACTTGCGTTAAATTGTAAATTTTGTTTAAACTGTTGCAGGAGATGAGATCTAGGCAGTTGTTGGGAGGCTGGTGGTGTTAGTTATGAATGGATCCAGTCCCAGAGTAGTAACCGTATTGTACAGGGTTGCATGTATTAGTTCAGTTGTACATTCGTTTAGGATCCATTTATTCCGCTGCAGCTTCCGGTTTTGGGCGTGTGCTACATAGTGGATTTTTCCCCCCCCTCTTTAAAAGCAGGTCGCCTCTTTGCCGGAGGACGTCTCTACCGACGCGCCCACCGCGGCACCTGGAGAGACCGAGTTTCCTGCTGAGCAGAGTCCTGAAGACGCCGATTCAGCGGCTCAAGGAAATAGTGCAAAGGACCCAGCTGCCATCAAAATTAGCAACGATGGCAAACTGATAAAGGGTAAGCCCTCCCGTCCAGATCAAACCCTGCCTCTTAGAGGACAAAGTCACATTTATGGTCCCCGAGAAATCTTCGGTCTGGCTCCCAGGCGCACCCCACCCCCCTCTAAAAGGTACGGTTGAATTGTGATTTTTTTTTTTTTTTAAGATGAGAGACAGGCCGTGAAGTAAAAGGCAAGTAATCCCATGCATTGTTAATTTAAATGGATTCTGATGAATTGGAGACGTCTAAAATAAGCCCTGGAAAGAATACCAAATAACTGAGTTGGAAGAGACCTGGGAGGCTTCTAATCCCCTGTTCACACTGGAGACCCTTTATCGTTCCGCAAAAACGGTTGTCCAATTTCTTAAAAACCTCAGGAAGGCTTGTCTGTCTGCCTGTCCATCTATCCATCCATTTATCTCCCTCCCCCTCAGCTGTAAAGCATTGTGAAGTTCTATATGTCTGCTATTTCTATTCATCCATCCATGCCTGTCTGTCTGTCTGTCTGTCTGTCTGTCTAATCTATCTCTGTCTCAGTCTGTCGGTCTATCCGAGAGGGCTGTAAAGCACTGTGAAGGACTATATGTCTGCTATTTCTATCCATTCATCTGTCCATTCAT